CAATAGCTAAACCCCTATTGATAGTCTTGTCTCGTATACTTTATCCCTTTTTCCTCTGTTCGTTATTATCACCGAATATCACAGGTTGTCGCGTCTTGTGTGTTTGCCCTATACTCTTGTAATCCCTTTAAGTTTTTATGTGTTTACGTCTCTTTACCTTCTACTTTTATTAGTTTTCTATTGTCTGTCATTATCAACTACTATCTTCTACCATCTACCACCATCTACCACCACCTACCACCACCTACCACCATCTACCGCCATCTACCACTATGTACCGCCATCTACCACCATCTACTCACCATGGTAACCCAACCTTCGTCCTCCACACCACCGTCTTGAGAGAGAGAGAGAATATTATGAACAACTATCCTCAACATTGATATATTTTGTCTAACCACTTCATTTACCAGCATCTACCACTATTTCCTTCTACCATCTCTGACCTACCACCACCCACTACCAACCACCATTCACCACCTACACCCATCCCTCACCTACCACCATCCACCACCTCTCCCAGCCACCTACCACCAACCACTATCTCTCCCAACTACCTACCACCATCAACAACCATCCCTAAGCAACCACCACCTACCACCATTCGTATAAAACACTCCTCACCATCTTTTTAGGACACCCACACCCCCTCTACCCACCCACCCCCTCCACCCACCACCACAATCCCTCCACCCACCGCTCTCCCTCGTACGCAAATTAGGTCAATGGTCCGAGATTACCTTTGCGGACTAGACACGTCATTTGTCTAGCTGGAGTAACACAACACTGTACTGTACTATCGTTGTTTGGTCTGGCTCAGTCAAGTCAGGATAATGGACCCAGTCAAGTCAGGATAATAGACACAGTCAAGTCAGGTTAATGAACACAGTCAAATTAGGTTAATGGACCCAGTCAAGTCAGGATAATGGACACAGTCAAGTTAGGTTAATGGACCCAGTCAAGTCAGGATAATGAACAAAGTCAAGTCAGGACTATGGATATATCTCTTTGAACTGACTCTCAATACTTAGAGTAAGGAGATGGATTAAGTTATTAAAATATTGGATTAGGTTAGAGTGAAATGATGGATTAAGATGTTTGAAATACCTATGTATCCATCCCATTTAATACCTATTTATCCAGGCCAGTTAATACCTGTTTATCCAGGCCAGTTAACACCTGTCTGACCCACCAATTAACACCCAGGATGATAACAAAGGCCAGGTAGATTAGAGACATTAAAGCTGATTTGTGCGGTTTATTGTGTGCGTTATCGCCTTTAGTGTGGTTTGTGGGTTGGTATAATGTGGCCTCTCTCTCTGGGGTGATGTTGAGGGGAGCTGAGATCATTGTTAAGCTCTGGGGTGATGTTGAGGGGAGCTGAGACCATTGTTAAGCTCTGGGGTGATGTTGAGGGGAGCTGAGATCATTGTTAAGCTCTGGGGTGATGTTGAGGGGAGCTGAGATCATTGTTAAGCTCTGGGGTGATGTTGAGGGGAGCTGAGATCATTGTTAAGCTCTGGGGTGATGTTGAGGGGAGCTGAGACCATTGTTAATGCAACATGATGTATTGTCCTAGATAAATGTACCATGATATATTGTCCGGGTTAAATACGTGATGTAATATCCTCATTTAATACAACATGATAGATTTTCTGAACTAAATGCATCATGGTGTATTGTCCTAGATAAATGTACCATGATATATTGTCCTAGTTAAATACGTGATGTAATATCCTCATTTAATACAACATGATAGATTTTCTGAACTAAATGCATCATGGTGTATTGTCCTAGATAAATGTACCATGATATATTGTCCGGGTTAAATACACTGTCTCAAACCTTCCAACACTCTGGTCACACACATCAAGCAAGGACACCAGAACTACATCCATCTCTCTCCAACAGATCTGAATATCCCTAAACCACTAAACTCTAGTACAGGATTAGTTATGTACATATATCTACACGTCCATCCAATACCTGAAGCGAAATCAGAATCTGAATTACAATATCTAAGTCCGAATTACATGCTGGAGTTCAACCCACTGCTTCGAAACTTTCATGTGAAGTTTTGGTGGTCTGGTTCATTGAGCCGTGGTGTGTGTGTGTGTGTGTGTGTGTGTGTGTGTGTATTCTCTCATTCTTACTTCAATCTTATCCCCTTCCATATCCATTCTCATTTCCATTCCATTATAATTTCATTCCTATTTTCAAAGCTATTCCAATTTTCGATTCCATTTCCATATTTTCACACATTCCCATTCCATATTTTCACATCCACACCCATTCCGAAACTCGACTCTCGTTCCATATTCTCACACCTATTCCAGTTTTCAGTTCCAATCTTCAATTTTTATTCCCGTTTTTACAATCCGATTCGACAATCTTCCCGTGAGAGTAAGAACAAACAGATTATGGCAATGTAAACTTTTGCTTCCAATATGATTCTTTTATTTATTGCTTCACTTGGAACTTAAAGACGAGGAAGAGGAAGAAATAAACGAAGAATTGATTGTAACTTTTCCTCTCTTGTCTTTTTACCCTTCCCTCTTCCTTCCTCCTTTCTTCTCCTACCCTTCCCTTTCTCTTCCTTCTTCCCCTACATTTCCTATTCTCTTCCTCTGGCAGAGAGAGAGAGAGAGAGAGAGAGAGAGAAAACCGCGACACAAACAGATGGTGATAACTCAAACTTAATGGTGACTGAGGAGAGGAAGGAGAGGTGAGAGGCGGAGAAGTGAGCGAAAGGAGAAGTGAAAAGTGAGAGGAAGGAGAGGTGAGAGGGAGGTGAGGTGAGAGGAAGGAGAGGTGAGTGAGAAAAAAGTGCTATACAGGACAGGATGCGGTGGCCGAGTGGGTATACAGTTCGTTTCCTCTCCTAAAGGTCACTAGTTCACGTCAAGGTTATCTCCAGTGAACAATGGCCTTACTTTACAGTTTGGGAGGTGAAGTCGGTCGAGTACAATGCCGGCTAATGGGATTTTCTAAGTAAATTGTTGAGTATATGAAGTTATTTCTCTCTTCAATGAGTGAATTTTCGTATAATAGTTCCCAACTCTTGTGTGTGAACCTTTTCCTTCACATCCTTCATAATCTTTTTGAATCATGAGTTACTAAAAACGATTCCTTCTGTTATGGTTCGACTCATAGGGTATCAACCTCGTGTTTCAACTACCTTAGTATTCACGAAGACATTCTTGAACACTCACTCAAGGCTTCGAATAGTTCTCAATCCCCAGATCTTCAAGAAAATCTCGAGTAACCTTTTTAGAGACCCGAGACGAGCCGTGATCCGATGAATGATCCGAACGGAATCTCTAGGTATCTATCTAAGAACCCTGAAGAGTTCGATTCCTTACGAAGCACTTGAACCTGAACCATAATAGTCTATGTAGGACAAAACGAAAAACCACACATCGAATTGATTCTGAAACTGATTCATATTATATCGCGTCTGGCATGAGAGATTCGTGATTCACTTCTGTTAAAAACATCTAAATTTGACTACAGGTGTTCATGGTTCAAGGTATTTTAACCCTGGTCAGACTATTAAGACTGATCCATGATTATATACAACCTAATATGACTACAAACTACTTCTAATTGATGACCATAACTCCTAACTAAAATACAATTAACATACATAATCAAAGTAACATCAACGAAACATCTCAACAGGATATCAAGTGATAGCCCAGGATGATCGGACAACTAGCAACTGCATTGGGAAACCACTACACAAAGGAACTCGACTGGGTAATCTGTTTTCATCCTGATCCACCAAGTTCTTACCGAGGGTGACAGAGACAAATGACACCAAGGAACTCTCTCTTAGGCTCCTCCCCCGCCCAGGATTCGAACTCGTGTTTTATCACTTGTATAGGGAGTATGTTGACCCCTGGACCATATGTCGTCATGAAGAGTTATGTGTATCTCGTCATTTTCCTCTTTATTTCCCTTTACCTTCGTTATCTCTTCCCCCAAGTCCCCTTCATACTAAGTATCTTTCTTGTCCTCTCTACCCATCTCTCTCTCTCTTTCTCTCCTATTCACTCCTTTCCTCCCTTCTCATTTTAATTCCTTCTCCCCATACTTTCTATCTTTCCCTTCCCCTCTCTCACCATTTTCTCCTCTCTTCTCTCATTCTTCTTTCCTTCTTTTCCCTCCCGTATTACAACATCTCTACCTTTCCTATTTCCTTCCCCTCTTTCTTCCCATCTCCCCCGTCCCTTCTCTCACCTATTTTTGTCTCCTATCCCCTCCCCCTCTCACCTTAGCATGACCAGCTCACTAATGATCCTTGGACAAACAATTAACCTGAAGGAGGTTTTAACTATACAACCACTTAACGAGGCAATTAAGGGAGTTCAATGAAAGGGCCTGGTGTAGACGACCATGGTTCCTCTCTCTCTCTCTCTTTCTCCTCCTCCTCCTTCCCCTTCTCTCCCTCATCTCTTCCTTTCCCCTTTTCTTCCGGCCTTTCCCTTTCTTCATCCCTCTCTCTCTTCCTTCCCTCTCCCCCCCCCCCTTCTCTCTCATCTCCACCACCTTCCCAAACACACCCATCACTTCTCCTCGCCCGCCGACCATTGTTGAAGGAGAATTTATCAGGAGTTCTTCCCGGCTCGACAAAGCACGTTACTCATGCCTGCATCGTACTGAATAAATAAATACTTTTGCCTTTGAGTTCCTCGTGTGCGTGTTGCCCAGAGTCACTCGCTGCTTCTACAATGCTCTACAGAATTTACCGATTCACTTTTGAGTGTTATTCGGGAGCTATCGTCCGAATCATAGACTTATTTTGGGATTATATTTGTATGGTGATTCGGGCGGTGTTGAATTTATATTTGTTTTGTCCCTTTGTTGACAGAATCAGGTTATATATCACAGTCCTCTGAATGGTTTATCGAATCACTTTTTCATGTGATGGAAGAGTTATCGCGTGAATCGTATATTTATTCTTTTTAGATAAAATTCGTATAAAGATTCGGGATTTGATGCCTAAATCAAGTTCTGTATTACGATGCTGTAAAGGCTTCTCCCTCACTGCTCCCCGGCCACTCACTGCTCCCCGGCCCCCAACTGTTCCCCAGCCCTTCACTACTCCCCAGCCACTCACTGCTCCCGCCCCCAACTGTTCCCCAGCCCTTCACTACTCCCCAGCCACTCACTGCTCCCCCGGCTACTGCTCGCCCCTACTGCTCCCGGCCACCTCCTGCTCCCGGCCCCCCTGCTCCCCGGCCACTCACTTCTCCCAGCCTCCTGCTCCCCAGCCACCTTCTCCCAGCCCTCACTTCTCCCCAACCACTCTCACTTCTCCCCGGCCACTCACTTCTCCCCGGCCCACTCACTGCTCCCCGGCCACTCCTGCTCCCGACCACTCACTTCTCCCCGGCCACTCAATTCTCCCTGGCCACTCCTTCTCCCCGGCCACTCACTGCTCCCCAGCCCTCCCCACTTCTCCCCAGCCACTCCTTCTCCCCGGCCACTCCACTTCTCCCCGGCCACTCACTTCTCCCCGGCCACTCCTGCTCCCCGGCCCTCCCTCTCCCCAGCCACTCCTCTCCCCAGCCACTCCTGCTCCCCAGCCACTCCTTCTCCCCGGACCTCCCTGCTCCCCGGCCCCCACTGCTCCCCGGCCACTCCTTCTCCCCGGCCACTCCTTCTCCCCGGCCACTCACTGCTCCCCGGCCACTCACTGCTCCCCGGCCACTACTTCTGCCCCGGCCACTCACTGCTCCCCGGCCACTCACTTCTCCCCGGCCACTCACTGCTCCCGGCCACTCACTGCTCCCCGGCCCTCACTGCTCCCCAGCCACTCCTGCTCTGACCCACTCCTGCTCCCAGCCCTCACTGCTCCCAGCCACTCACTTCTCCCCAGCCACTCACTTCTCCCCCGGCCACTCACTTCTCCCAGGCCCTCCTGCTCCCCAGCCCTCCACTTCTCCCCGACCACTCCACTTCTCCCCAGCCCTCCTCTCCCCGCCACTCACTTCTCCCCAGGCACTCACTGCTCCCCGGCCCCCCTGCTCCCCGGCCACTCACTTCTCCCCGGCCACTCACTTCTCCCCCCGGCCACTCCTGTCCCCGACCCTCCTGCTCCCCGGCCCTTACTTCTCCCCGGCCCTCCTGCTCCCCGGCCACTCACTTCTCCCGGCCCTCCTGTCCCCGGCCCTCCTGCTCCCCGCCTCCTGCTCCCCGGCCACTCCTGCTCCCCAGCCACTCCTTCTCCCCGGCCACTCACTTCTCCCCGGACCTCCTGTCCCCGCCCCCCCTGCTCCCGGCCACTCACTTCTCCGCCACTCCCTTCTCCCCGACCCTCCTGCTCCCCGGCCACTCCTGCTCCCAGCCCTTCTTCTCCCCGGCCACTCACTTCTCCCAACCACTCCTTCTCCCCGGCCACTCCTGCTCAGACCCTCCTGCTCCCCGGCCCTCACTGCTCCCCGGCCCCCCCCCTGCTCCCGGCCACTCCTTCTCCCCAGCCCTCCTTCTCCCAGCCTCCTGCTCCCGGCCACTCCTGCTCCCCGGCCCTTACTTCTCCCCGGCCCTCCCTGCTCCCCAGCCCTCACTTCTCCCCACCTCCTGCTCCCCGGCCACTCCTGCTCCCCGGCCACTCACTGCTCCCCGGCCACTCACTTCTCCCCGGCCACTCCCACTTCTCCCCGGCCCTCACTTCTCCCCGGCCCTCCTGCTCCCCAGCCCTCCTGCTCCCCGGCCCTCACTTCTCCCCGGCCACTCCTGCTCCCCAGCCACTCCTTCTCCCCGGCCACTCACTGCTCCCCAGCCTCCTGCTCCCCGCCTCCTGCTCCCAGCCACTCCTGCTCCCCGGCCACTCCTTCTCCCCGGCCACTCCTGCTCCCCGGCCCTCCTGCTCCCAGCCACTCACTTCTCCCCGGCCACTCCTGCTCCCCGGCCACTCACTTCTCCCCCAGCCCTCTGCTCCCCGGCCTCCTGCTCCCGGCCACTCCTGCTCCCCAGCCACTCCTGCTCCCCGGCCCTCCTGCTCCCCGGCCACTCCTGCTCCCCAGCCTCCTGCTCCCCGGCCACTCCTTCTCCCCAGCCACTCACTTCTCCTGACCCACTCCTTCTCCCCGGCCACTCCTGCTCCCCAGCCCTCCTGCTCCCAGCCACTCACTTCTCCCAGCCCACTCACTGCTCCCCAGCCACTCACTTCTCCCCGGCCACTCCTGTCCCCGGTACTCACTGCTCCCCGGCCACTCCTGTCCCCGGCCCTCCTTCTCCCCGGCCACTCACTTCTCCCCCGGCCACTCCTGCTCCCCGGCCACTCACTGCTCCCCGGCCACTCCTGCTCCCCGGCCACTCACTGCTCCCGGCCCTCCTCCCCGGCCTCCCTGCTCCCCAGCCTCCTGCTCCCCCGGCCTCCTGCTCCCCAGCCACTCCACTGCTCCCCAGCCTCCTGCTCCCCGGCCACTCACTGCTCCCCAGCCCTCCTGCTCCCCTGACCACTCACTTCTCCCCCGGCCACTCCCTGCTCCCCGGCCACTCCTGCTCCCCGACCCTCACTTCTCCCGGCCCCCACTGCTCCCCGGCCCTCACTGCTCCCGGCCACTCCTGCTCCCCGGCCTCACTTCTCCCCGGCCACTCACTGCTCCCCGACCACTCACTTCTCCCCGGCCCCCTGCTCCCCAGCCCTCCTGCTCCCCAGCCACTCCACTGCTCCCCGGCCCTCACTGCTCCCCGGCCACTCACTGCTCCCCGGCCACTCCTGCTCGACCACTCCTGCTCCCCCCGGCCACTCACTGCTCCCAGCCACTCACTGCTCCCCGGCCACTCCTGCTCCCCAGCCCCTCCACTGCTCCCCCACTGCTCCCCGGCCTCTTGCTCCCCGGCACTCACTGCTCCCCGGCCACTCCTGCTCCCCCGGCCACTCCTGCTCCCGGCCCTCCTGCTCCCCGGCCACTCCACTGCTCCCCTCCTGCTCCCAGCCTCCTGCTCCCCGGCCACTCACTGCTCCCCCTTACTGCTCCCCGGCCACTCCTGCTCCCCAGCCACTCCTGCTCCCCAGCCTCACTGCTCCCCCCGGCCACTCCTGCTCCCCAGCCCTCCCTGCTCCCCAGCCCTCCTGCTCCCCCAGCCACTCCTGCTCCCCAGCCACCCCACCAGTATAAGCTCTTGA